AGAGACGGGGTTTCACCATGTTGACCAGGATGGTCTCGATCTCTTGACCTCGTGATCCACCCGCCTCGGCCTCCCAAAGTGCTGGGATTACAGGCTTGAGCCACCGTGCCCGGCTTGAAGTCTTTTCTTGAGATGGACATTCTGACTTCTCCACTGCCCCTGAACTGCATTCCTAATTCTAAGAAAACCTCTGTGTAGCTGGCAATGCTCCTGAGCTCAAGGCCAACATCAGTGGGAGTCTGCACTGCCAGCTGTAATCTCACACACCCCAGCTCTGTGCCCAGAGGAAGCTTGGTACTGCCAGGACTTGGCTCTGAGCAGCTGTAATCCTACTCATCTTTACAGTAAAAGAACAAGAAGAAACTGCTTCCATTACCACAAGGAGGATATAGGGTAGATAAAAATAATTCCTTTATCAGCAAAGGTTTTGAAATCTCTTTAAAGTTAGGGCAGGATAGGTTTCCATCAATCTGAGATTTCTTAGAGGAGAGATGGGAGAGGAACAAACGAAAACAACGAATGTTTATGCAACCCCAGCTCGGTTTCGAGGGGTGACCAGCTGAGTGCTATATGAGAACTTCAAGGTGAACACGTAAAGTTAAAAAGAAATTGACACAGTTCAAACTGGAAATGATTTAAGTGTCTTGTCATCTCTCAGCCCTTTGGTTAGCAGCCATGCATCTTGCCCACCACCACTCTGAGATTTTCATTTTCCTTCTGTCTTAGCCGGTTAGCCTAGATTTGCAGCAGCAAACGGTAACCTCTTTCCAAAAAACGCATTTGATCTAAATATGGACCTAAACCAGTGACTGTTACCAGATAAAAGTTCTGCGACCAGCACTATAGGAAAGCAGCGTGATATCACAAGAAGCACTTCCTGCAGCTGTCGAAGCCCAACTTGGCAGAGGGGTCCGAGAGGAAGTCTGAGAAAGCTACAAAGATGCCTGAGCTCACCCTGACCCAGTTCTGGATGCATCTGGCACCGGCAGTGGGGGGCTGAAGAGGAGCCAGGGAAAACTCAGGCAGATCTCAGTGGGATGTCAGGGGCAGAGAATATGGAGAAGAGGTGTGGAGTGCGTTCTCGTGGGTGAGGGTGGGCGCAGTGTGGGAAGGAGTCTCAGAGAACGAAGGGCGGGGTCAGGGAGAAAGCCGGAGTGTGCCTGAACACGGGAGAGAATGGGAAGAGGGAGGTCCCTCTGAGGCCCCTGCGTGTAGCGTGGGAGGCAGGGGAATGAGGTGATCCAGGCCTGAGGGGGCTGCCTGTGAGGACCCTGTCTCAGGCCTCTGGGGAAGGATCTAGGAGGAATGACGGGGTTCGAAGGCCCGGGGGCGCGCCCGAGGGCGGGGCACACCTTGTCTGAGTCCAGCTCCGGGTCCTCCTGGCAGCAGAGGCGGCAGAGGAAAGACTTGGGCTCCCGGCCTAAGGTCTGACGGGTGGTCACGAAGTAGGTGCCTCCCACGTTCAGCCTGACCCAGCGGGCCGCGCCGCCGCCCCCTGCCCGCTCGGGGGGTCCGGGACCGGGGTCCAGTGGCTGCGCGACGGCGGCGGCCGGGCGGCCGTGCCCGCGAGGCGTGGGGCCAGCCGGGCGTGGGCTGGGAGGCCCGCGGACTGGGCCGCCTCCGTCGCCCACCCCGCTCCCGCCGCCCCCTCCGCTCCCGCCGCCCCCTCCCAGCCCCGCCATCGCCGGGTCCAGCTGCAGCTCCGCCATCTTGGGCCGCCACCGCCGCCGTCGCCGCTGCCCGCGCGCAGCCGGGCCGGCCCATTTCTCGGCAGGGAGAGCCGGGCCGGCCCATCGGCGGGGGTGGGGCGGGGGGAGAGGGACGGGAGCGCCCCCAACCAGCGTCCGGGGACCCGCGCGGCGGAGGCGCTGTGCCCGCCCCCGGGGCGAGACTTCCGAAACCAGCCCTCATTTCTATTGGCTGATCTGCGAAACAAGGCCCACCCCCTTGGCTTTGGGGTTGGCTGAGGGAAGACCTTCCGGTGACCCACTTCCGTTACTTGCTGCTGTGGACGGTAGGCAGCCAGGGTCGGTGAAGGTGAGTGGGGATCCGGGCGTTGGCTCCCATCCCTGGAGTTCTCCTTTGCTCTGCCCCCTCCAAACCTCACGCTGACCCTTGTCATACATACCTCGTCAGGGACGCCGGGCCCTCGGGTTGCCCCGCTGGCAGAGTGCCCTTTGTGTAGCTGCCGCGCCTGTCCTCGCTATCCCTTCCTCAACCCTCGCTGGAGCGGGGTCACCGGGGCCCGGCTGTGTCCCGGGCGCCGCTGATTTAAGCTTTGCCATAAGTCGTGTCTCGTGCAGTCCGCTCCCAGTGCGGCAGACTTCAATAGTCTTGTGGGGGGACTGGGGAAACGTTACGCAGAAGGTGTTAACTTGACAAGGGACGCTCAGTGGGCTGCGGTGCTGCGCACTTCCCTTCCCTCTGGCGGCTTCCTGGATTCGAACGGGTAGAGCTTTCAGGGCTCCTCAAATGCAAGGTTCAGTTACTCATTCAGGAAAGATTTATTGAGCGTCTCCTATGCGCATGACCTGTTCTAGATGCTGGGGCAATAGATTTTTTTTTTTTTTTCCAGATGGAGTTTCGCTCATGTTGCCTAGGCTGGAGTGCAGTGGCGCTATCTCCGCTCACCACAACCTCCGCCTCCCAGGTTCAAGCGATTCTTCTGCCTCAACCTCCCCAGTAGCTGGGATTACAGGCACGCGCCACCACGCCCGGCTAATTTTGTATTTTTAGTAGACATGGCGTTTCTCCATATTGGTCAGGCTGATCTCGAACTCCTGACCCCAGGTGATCCACTGGACTGGGCCTCCCAAAGTGCTAGGATTACAGGCGTGAGCCGCCTCACCTGGCCTTTTATTTATTTGTTTAATTTTTTGAGGCGGAGTCTCACTCTGTTGCCAGGCTGGAGTGCAGTGGTGTGATCTAGGCTCACTGCAACCTCCACCTCCCGGGTTCAAGTGATTCTTGTGAAGGCTTGGATGCTTCTAAGATTTAAAGGATTCTCTCTACGAGCCGTTATTTTGTTACTTATTATTTTTTCCAAATGAAAATTCACCTTATAAAAAAGGCCTTGTTTTGATCTGACTTATTTTTCAGGATCCCAAGATGGCTGGGCGAAAACTTGCTCTAAAAACCATTGACTGGATAGCTTTTTGGGAGATCATACCCCCAAACCAAAAGGCCATTGCTAATTCCCTGAAATCCTGCAATGAGATCCTCACCTCTAGGTCAGTATGTTTCTGAGAGGGAACCCCATACTTGCCACTGGATCTAGAAAGAAAACAGTATTGGCTGGGTGCGGTTGCTCATGCTTGTAATCCCAGCACTTTGGGAGGCCAAGGCAGGCAGATCACAAGGTCAAGAGATCGAGACCATCCTGGCCAACATGGTGAAACCCTGACTCTACTAAAAATACAAAAAAATTAGCTGGGCGTGGTGGCATGTGCCTGTGGTCCTAGTTACTCGGGAGGCTGAGGTGGAAGAATTGCTTGAACCCAGGAGGCAGAGGTTGCAGTGAGCCGAGACTGCGCCTCTGCACTCCAGCGACAGAGCAAGGCTCCGCCTCGAAAAAAAAAGAAAACAGTATTAAGGAATTATAAATGAATTCTTGATGCCCTTCTGACAACATATAAAGAAATTCTTGGTTTTTTTTGTTTTTTTGAGATAGAGTTTCACTCTTGTTGCCCAGGCTGGAGTGCAATGGTGTAATCTTAGCTCACCACAACCTCTGCCTCCCAGGTTCAAGCAATTCTCCTGCCTCAGCCTCCTGAGTAGCTGGGGTTACGGGCATGGGCCACCATGACCAGCTAATTTTTTGTATTTTTAGTGGAGATGGGGTTTTTGTGGGTTTCTTCATGTTGGTCAGGGTGGTCTCGAACTCCCGACCTCAGGTGATCTGCTTGCCTCAGCCTCCCAAAGGGCCAGGATTACAGGCATGAGCCACCATGCTTGGCCAATCCTTGCATTTTCCTGATGATCCCAGGAGAGGAAAGTGTGATGACTCTCCAGGCCATAGAAAGAAGGGGTGGGAAATAGTGAATTTTCTACTGCTTATGAACAATCCTAACTTTGCGTTTCCCTGTGAACAGGTTGGCTGCTTTACCTGAGAATCCACCATCTATTGACTGGGCTTACTACAAGGCCAATGTGGCCAAGGCAGGCTTGGTGGATGACTTTGAAAAGAAGGTGAGACTTCAGACCTCTAAAGCACTGAGCTTGTAATATGCTTGTGTGGGGCGGGGAGCAGGAACGTGAATAATTACATACGCAGCATGACAGTCAGATCCTTAAGGAAGTTTAGGAAAGATGGGTATGGCCAAAGGCCTTGTGGTAGATTTAACTGTAAATAGGCACAGGAATTTAGGCTCTGTCCATTCAGCAGTACAGTGTAGCCTTAATCTGGGAGCCAGAGGGCTTTCTGATTAGAACGGGAGTTTTGACCTGCTCTGTTTCTGACCTGGGCTGGTTCACACCCTCCTTAGGCAACCTGGTGGTCCCCCGCTCCCCGGAGCTCACCATATTGATGCCGAACTTAGTGCAGACACTCAAACGACATAATGCACTAAGCCTAGAACTCCTGGGCTCAAGCGATCTTCTCGCCTCAGCCTTCCGAGTAGCTGGGACTACGGGCATGTGCCACCACTCCCCAGAGGGCTTTCAAGTTAAATGTTTGCTCACCTCTTGGGTTCCTTTTAGCTTCCGACCTGTCTCCCTTTGGAACAAACTAATGTTTCTTCCACTCTTTTCCTGTCCTTTTTTTTTCTTTTTTTTGAGACAAGAGTTTCGCTCTTGTTACCCAGGCTGGAGTGCAATGGCGCGATCTTGGCTCACCACAACCTCCGCCTCCTGGGTTCAGGCAATTCTCC